AAGTTTTTCTCATAGGTCTGGCTTTGTCTGTCTCGTTCAACCGCCGTTCGTTGTTCTGTTGTCAAGTCTCGATGAACTGAACTTTATGTAAATTAAAGATCATCTTGGCCCTCAGCATTTATATTAACTATTGATGGTCCTTTGATCTTTTATTTATTGATCCGAACTGAGTTTTGTGTGAAGGTTCATTCGTTCAATGCACTTCAAAAGTGATTGTTAAATTTGATCTTGAAAGTGCACAACACTTGAACTCGCCTTTAAACGGGAGAAAAACCACCCCATTTGTGATGGAATTTATTTCTGAGTCAGAGAGTCAAGGATACATGCATGCAGGTGGCAATTAATTGTCATTGCAACACAGTAATGCCAGCCAGTTCATAGCTATCTGTCTAGTTTTTGTATTTACAGCGTGGAGGAGCCATTGGAAAAGAACGAACATCAGCTGCATTGGAAACACAAATCTCTTCGGACATTCCGTTATCCCCGGAACTCCGACATGCAATGGTTATCGACGCAAAGCAGTACTTTGACCTAGTATGAGTTGCCTAAAGTAGTCCCATGGCCTTTGGAAACGTAGTTGTTTATGTTTTTTCAGGTGACGAGTATCAACAAACATAAACAGGTGGCTGCATTTGTGAAACAGTTCGCTACAAAGACAAGAGCTATCACAGAGGTTGTAAAGGGTTTGGAAGAGTTGCTGCTTCCTCGATATCCTGAGGCTTTTCTAGGTAAGCGAGTGTCATCACTAAATTAAGCACTTGTTTACACGTCCACAGAACCGTTTATCACTGGCACACTTTCCATTTGTTTTTCCGTGGAATTCCAGTTTCTGTTTACTTTTTTTCGGGATCGCATAGTTTTTATTTTTGCGGTTAGATTAATCCGTTTTTTTGAGTCCGTTAAATTAAATTTGGCGGAATTGATATTTGAAACTTTCATAGTCACGAAAGCCTTTTGCCACTTGTATGGTTTGCTCTGGGTTTTTCTTTGAAGAGCTAGCCTTCTGTGTTTACTAACAATAAGAGGATTACTTGACACATAAGCAGTATAAGCCAATGTAGTTAGTGAACTGAGAGAACCAGATTTTTATAAGTCCCTGTGTTACCATAATGAGCGCTTGGTTGTGGAGCAATGTCTCTTCAATTATTATGGTGTGGGGTACACGGCGCATCTCTGAACAGTGATCAAACCCATCAGTTTCTCGTCATCGTAGTTGCTACTGGGTACCACTTTGC